TAAGTGTCGACGAGAGAGCGTGTGATGAAGGAGGCGATGCCCGTTGGGTACACTGCGCCTGTTGCGACCTCCAACTGGTTATTTGGTGTAAGCTGCAGGCCTGCAAATGGCCCGGAGGCAAGGGTGTGGGGGAGCGGAAGCTGGGTGCCGAGGCCTGGAGGTGCCGTTTCTTCAAGAATGCGTGTAATAGCGGAGAGATGAACACCGGCATCCACGGCGATAATGGAGCCTTTTGTCCACCCCGAGGCAACTGAGCGGACCAAGAGAGCGGTAGTATTGGATTCCTGGGGACCGCCGCCAGCACCCTAGGAAATTGGGTTAGCGGAGGTGCGGACATGATGGGGCACTCTTTGAGGGGATCCCGGCCCAAGAAGCGACAGGTCACTCGGTCGCATTGAAAGATGTATCTGCAGTCCTGATCGCATGCGCAAAGCGTTGAAGAAGAACTGCCGATTCTCCCTCACCCAAGGCTGCTGCACTTGCAAAGGTTCCAGGGGTTGAGGCGCTTTGCAGCATGAATTTCCCATTTGGTGCGGTTGGCGCAACCCGAAAAAGTCGACTGCATGAACGACAAGAGGATGCACCGGGGGGCCGGGTCGAGATGATCTCGTGGGGGACTTTTTCTCCCTTCATGAGAGACACTCGATACGTCGGGGCCCAGCAAGCCTCGGGGATGTGAAAGAGGACACGCGCGATCTGCGACTTTGGAAGTCGGCAGTGAGGCGCATCAAAGATATGAGAGTGGAACGTACCAGGACAATGACCTGCAAGGCCGGCCGACGGGAATTCTCCGACTTCTCCCCATTTGTGTCCTCCATAACGGACTAGGTGCTGATGCAAGACGAAAGAATTAGACGCGGAGAGAGTTGATAGAATTAGGATTCCTCCCAATGCCGCCTCTACAGAACCACCACCCCGCCTAGACGGGCAGCCAATGCCACGATGAGGTAATAGGGTCTGTGGCAGACAAGACGGAACGGCACGGCAGATAGAATTGGCATGCGACGCAGCGGCGGTCTTCGTTCTGAGCCGGTGGGGAAGATGCGATCAGTCGCAGTGTGCAGACGCGCGCTCCGGTGGGATTTGATGGTTGGTTTGCAGGGGCTGACAGATCTGGAATCTGCAATGTGAGTGAGATCGTCGGTGAGTGGTTGGTTCGGCGTCTAGGTAGGCAAGGTAGGTCGGCAATAAGATACGAGTAGGTACTCGGTAAGCTTGGCGGATTGGATGGTGAGGTGCGCCGAGACGCAATGACGGGCGTAAGGTTGCCGGGAGAAGAAGTATGTAAGAAGGTTGAAAGAAAGAATACGGTAGACGATGGACAGGAGAAAGACACAGTTTTGCGATCTTGATGGTGGTCGGTCGGAACGAAACAGGGCTGGGGCTTTCGTCAGGTCTGATGTTTGCGCCCACCACCCCCTTTGCGGTTTCTGGATCTTGTCTCTTTCAAGGTTCCCTTTTGGCGGTGTTCCCCCCACAGCAAAGGCCAGAGAGGGAAAGAGAAAAAAGAAAGAAAAAAAAGGGACGCGGATGGATCTCGAGATGAGATGGACGGCTTCTCCGAAGGCCGACGTCGTGGCTCCCGGGATGGGTGGGTTTGACTGGTGCCCCAGCCGGCGGTGCTTCTGTACGGTATTAATTGGAGAGTGGAGAGCTTTGTGAGCTGGAGCTGGAGCAAGCTGGTCGGGTCTTGTCTTTGGTATCCGTATGGATAGTGCGCGCGTGGGAATGGATCGGTGCGGATGGTAGCGGTCGGGTGGTGTTTAAGTCCGATGGCCAGGGTGGTTTTGAATGGCCTTGTTGCTTTTTGGGATTGTTCAGGATCGAATAGATGGGAGACGAAAAGAGTCCAGACCAAGTTGCTTTGACGTGACGACAGAAGGGCAAGCCAACGCGGTGCGCGGTGCGCGATGCAGTTGAGTTGCAGCTGCGAATGCGATGCGATGTGCGAGAGAGTGAGCGTAAGCGACCTCGGTCGGGTGCAGCTGCAGTGTGCAGAGTGCGGCGTGCGGCGTGCAGCATGCAGTGACAATGAGGAACGTGGACGGGTCAGGGACTCAGGGAGTCAAGGGTGGGTGGTGGTGTTGGGTGGGATGGATGCCCAGGTGGAGGGTGGGATGGATGCCCAGGTGGAGGGTTTTGGGGGGAGGGATGGAGGGATGATGACTTTTGGAGGTGAGGTGGTGGAAAGTGCGGAGGAAGCGTGGAGTTGGGCCACCAAATGCTTGCGACAGCAACTTCTCTCTCACAGACAGCAGGAGCTGTGTGCTTGCTGAGCGTTGTCGGGATGCGCGGGAAGTGATACCACAAACACCACCTCAATAACGAGCATTCGTAAGTACCAATCCCAGACGTGATGTGATGACAGAGCAGCTCTTACTTTCTGCTCCTGCCTCCTGCAAGTCAATCTGGTGATTCGCTCCTGCTTGCTGGGAAGGAACAGAACTCTGTTGCGGTAACAACTCTCTTGTGCCGCTGCCCGCACCTGCAGTAGAGGCACCTTACTCCTGCACAGCAAAGTACTTGGAGGCCGGGTGAGGTAGGTGCTCACTTGGCTCGTGCACGATCTCTGTGCTGCTCCTTCTGCTTGTTGTCTGTTTTCTCTCCCTCAAGGTACCCAACCTTCCCCAAGTATGGAATCAATAATCAAAAAGGAGGAAAGCACGTTGACAGTGATACTCCAACTTTCCGGCTGTGACTTCCCAAAAGATATCGGATCGGATATCGGGCCAAGATACCTTAGGTAGGTATCTGTAGACGGACGGGACCTTCCAGTCCTAAGGTACCTACTCAAACCTCCAAGGCGTAGTTGAAGGCAAGTGAGGTAAGGAAAGATAGGAAGGTTCGTTCTTTTGGTAGTTTCCTCAGTCCGTGAGGTACTTTCCAATTTCAACAGGAAGTTGCAACTCGTTGCGCAACGTGACAAGCACCTTCCTCGCAAACTCTCTACTCTGCGCAACGTGGTGTCGACGTGTCGTGAGATTTCTTAGTCTTTGGGTGTCGTCGCATCAATTCTCGCTCGTTGGCTTTCCAAATTCAATCTTGCCCTTCGGCTGCGCATCTGCCTTTCTCTTTCTCTTTCGTCACCACAAACTCAATTGCAGCCCAGATGCTCCCCTAGCTATTTTCGTGATGCCAACAACGCCCTTTTCGGCCAATGCTGCCAAATCCTATTTCGGCTTTCGAATTTTATGCTTGTCGAATGTTCGCAAGTACCCATCCAAGACGGTGTCGAAGATCACCCGATGCCATCCGGGGCTAAGCTTCAGCCCAGTGTTCCAGCTCTGTGCCGTCTGATGTCCGATCGCCGACTGCTCGCGGGGATGAGCGGGCTTCGATGCCGCACCAAGACAATCCCAAGTTGCCTCTCGCGCTCGATAATGAGATGAAGCGAATCAGGCACTTGGAACCCTCTTTCCGACGGCTTCCACCGCCGTGCTACCCGTTGGACGTATTCAGGATACCAATGCGATAAACCATAACTGGCTTTTGCCTTTTGTCGCAAACTGTCAAGCCGCAGAACAAAAATGGAACGATGGAAGAAGGGGGGAAACAAGGTAATAATAAGTCAGTCAAGATTTACTTTACTCAATGTCTGAGTCAAAACTGCCTCATCGAATTCGTCGAGAACACTACTCCAAGTCGACTCTCTTTTCACAGGGATGGGCAGACAAGAACAAGCTATGACTGCAACTACGACTGCGAGTAGCTCGCCTTTCTATTTGTACTTTCACTTGTGGTCAACACCCTCACATTGTCCCATCTCCCAGCATTGACTGACAGACCTTACACACCACAGATAGACAGCTCTTTCAGCCGCCAGGCTCTTCTGCTTCGACTTTCCGCCCCCGCCAACGCGCACGTAGCGATGTGCCCTCCCCGTTCTCCCCCTCAGCCCTGCCTTACATCCAGAGGACAGAGGAGCACGAGGTCCATAAGCCGTTCAATAGGAATCGAGCCAGCGGCTCTGTTGAGACGATACCACTCCATACCATCTTACTTGCGCGGCACCCTCCTGCATCGTAGCATCTCTTTTCAGGACTAGCGCCCCTACTCCCCTCGGCCTCGCCGCGCTTTCGCACGCCAACGATTACTACCCGCGGGGCCGCGAGAGCTACGATTCATTCGCACCAACACTACGGCCCGCTTCCACCTTGGCCGACCTGCCCTTTCTTCGTATGTCTCTCTGGAGTATGTTCAGCTTCTGCCCGTCTACAGAGACCGGGATACTTTGTGCGGTACACGGCGTTGCCAATTCGTTGCCCGTGTCTCCATCCTCCAAGCAACAATCGTCATCCACACCATGTCACCGCTTCCGGTCATCCCCAGTTCATTCTGCGGCCCCTCCATTCCGCTTCTCTTAATCGAAACTCTCTTATGTTGAGGGCTCCGCAACTAAAGTGCCCCAAACCATGGCTCTTGAACCAAAATCTCATCCGGCCCTTTTCGCGCCCGCTTGTTAGCACCCGTAAACAGCACTTGTCCGAGCTTTCCCATCTTCCGGGGGTCGATTTGAGGCCACTTAGCGCGGGCGCGTGCTCTAGGCCGCAACCTGCCGCCCGACCGTTTGGAACCGTCGCATGGCGGCCGCGCCGGCCCCAGCTCCAGGACCCTTGGCATGAGCCTGGATTGTGAGTCAGAAATCACGCTTGTCACTCGAGAAATGCGCTCAAGTCGTGGGTTAGAGATCTGTTATTAATCATGTTGACACGGATACTAGCTAAGTCTGTATCTCTGATTCGTTGAGGCTGCCAACGAGGTTGCCATTCCTCTTCTCCTCGTCGCCTCCCCATCTTCTTGGTGCATCTGTATCTAATATGGGGTATCAATCCTATGTTGACCGCATGCGTGTGAACAAAGCCCCTTGTTCCGGTTCAGAAAACAAACATCCCAATGTGGCCAAGAATTACAAAGATTTTGGGGGCGCATGGTTCTTCACCACCCGGTAAAGAGAGAGACAAAGGCATCAATGATCAACGTCTTTCAACGGGCGAATAGCACGACTGTTTCGCACGTTTGTTCCAAGTGGCAGTCTGGCACTGAGAGGCGTTGTCATTGTCGTCAAACTCGTATTCTTCGCGCTTTCTCTTAGCAATACTCGGACGGACTGCCCTGCTCGCAGGAGTCTGTCTGCCCTCTTCGTCGTCACTATCGAGCTCCTCGATGACGGAGTGCCCCTTTTTGGAAACCTTTTTCTCGTTGATTCTCTCGACGTACCAGTCGAGATCGCCCTTGTGCTTATCAATGGAAATGCCGTTTCTCTTCTTCCGCATGTTGCTCCGTACTGGAGTCTCCAGCGCCAGGTGCTTGGTCGTCAGCACGTACCACAGCTTGGCTTCTCGGCCCACCTGGCGGTTCTGGACGGGGAGTCCCATCATCTTGTTGGTCTCTGATGACCTTTGCCATTCTTCGTAGGCGGCCTGCTGGGATGTGCGCCAATCTTCAAACTCCATCACCAGCTCGTCGTGATCACGGGTCATGGCCATGGGGTTGCGCTCTTCCTTTTCAAAGTAGCGGGTATCAGGCTTCAGGTCAAATGCTTGGGCAATCTCGAGAAGATCAAAGCAACGGTCCATACACCACAAGTGCATGTAGCCCGCATTGTGATACGGATCGTGCTGCTTCCCCGAGGTTTCGGGCCGCTCGTCGAAGCAGACGCGCCAGAAGCCCTTTAGGATGGTGCCCTTGTAGGCCGGGCAGCCTGACCAGCGGCACGCGCGTAGTCTGTCGTCGCCCACTCGCGTCTTGCAGCCGTGAGGGACGTTTTGGATCCACAGGGTTAGCGGGAGACCTCGCTGCTTCCGCTCCCTGATGTAGTACAGGATCTGCTCACGGGTGAAGCGCAGATGCGGCTGTAGCTCGCCCTCTTTGTTGTATTGGAACATGGGCTTTGTGTGGTCGTGCCCGCCCCAGGGGGCAGGCGCCTCGTGGAGGGAGTCATACCAGTCTGATGCGTCCACGTCCTTGGCCTTGGCGGGCTTGGGGATGCGCTTGAGGATCTTTCCATTCACGACGGGGGTTGTGAGGTCTCTGGATGGAGTGTGAGCGGGAGTAAGGTATAATGAGGGGATAGGGGCGCTGGCTTTAAAGACGCCCTGTCTATTGAGGATATTGTAGGGATTCACATCTGCCGGTCCGCCTGATAAGCTGTGGCGGTTAATGAAGTCGGCTGGACAAGGTGGTGATCTGGGCTTGGGATGGACCAGTCTCGTCGTGGCGGTGGCGCTGGGAGTGGCAGCTGAGACACTGCGAGGGATGGACTGTGAAGTGGTCAGAGGTGTGTATAGAGGGAGGGAATAAAGGAAGTTTACCGAGTCGTCGTCGTAGTTGAAAGGGACTTGACCGGCCGAAGCGGGTGCCACATCGGGGAACAAGGGGTTCAAGTCGGATTTTGAGGTCAGATGGCGTTGAGATTGCGGCGGCGGTGGGGCGGTAGAGATATCGCCGTTAGTCTTTGGTGAAGGATGAATGAAGATCGTCGAGGTGGGCTCCCGTTTGATGTTGCTGAAGTCGAAGCCGTCGAAGGTGGGGCCATCTTGCTTGACGCTGGCAGGGCTGAAGGATTCGAGGCCGTCATACGTCGTTTCCCCCCCAAAGCTGTCAAAGCCAGAGGTGTCGAGGTCAAAGACTTCGCGGGCGTCTCCGAGTGCAGAAGACGGGCGGTCACCGCACGGTCGTTGGGGGGCAAACATGTCGGGAGGAGGAGGGGATGCAAAGAGATCTTCACCATAACCACCACCGCCACCGCCAAGCCCCGCAGCCGAGTCGCAATGGAGGTCCCATCTGGTGTCACCACTGGACTCGAGACCGTCGAAGCGGGGCCATGGGACGCTCGGCGGGGGAGAGGGCCATGATGTGCCAATGCATAGTGCTTCTTCTGGGACCGGAGTCGGGGCCGCGGTGGGAAGCTGGAGAGCTTCGGCAATGGAGCCTTCGAATTCGTCGAAGAGGGCCTGGAGATTTTGGTCACTAGCGAAGGGTGTAGGTTCTTGCTTGAAGTCTTGCTGGAAATCCTGCTGGAACTCTGGCCTGAATTCTTGTTTTAACTCTGTTGGCTCTATGCTTGATAGCACGGGGGGTATGTCGTCTGTGGTGGTGGGAGGTGTTAATTGGCGCTGCTCTTGCTTAAGCGGTGGTGGTGTTCCTAGTAGTGTGATGAAAAGGACGTTGGGATTTATCGTCGCGACCTGCGCGGGCTTAACCTCTTCTTGCTCGAAATTGGGTAGGGAACCATTGTGGGTGTCGCCTTTACCTCCAAAGAGCGAGCCGTCTGAGATTTGGCTCTCGGAGACCTGTGATATTATCGCCTCCTCGATGGCAGTCTCTGGGATCTGCGTGGTCACCTTTTCGACTTCGGGGACCGGCCCTTCGACGCAAGCGTCGTCGAAGTTGAAAAAGGAGTCTACGTCATCGTAGGAGTCGCTGGAGTCGTTACAGAGGGTTCCCGGGAGCTGGTCAGGGCTGAACTTGTCCATCACCGGGGTGGACCGCATCGTGGCCATTATATCTCCGAAAGTGTTGTAGCAAGTCCCGGCTGGAAGTCTGCGGTGCTGTTCGTCAATTATTGCTCAACTTTTCCTGCAGTCCTCTTCGAGAATGAAATCAGATCTAATGTTTCTTGTAGTTGAATCTCTGTACTTGAACGATCCGTAGTTGAGCTTGTCTGTAGTTAAAAGTGAGTATATACGGCGCAAAAGTGAAAACGAATCGAATGTCTAGGTAGTCCGAGGTCGGGGAGAGTAAGGATGCTGGGGAGGGTGGGCGCACAACACGATATATATGCATGGCTATGGTAGCCATCCCTTCCACAGTGGCAGAGCAGTCTCGAGGTCAATGAAGAAGGACGTGCATAAGGAAGCTCAGTGATAGACAACGGGAACGCGGGGAGGCGACATTGTTCGAAGTGTTTGAGAATTGTCTGGCTGACAAAGGTTGATATTGCTATTATAGATACTTGATTGGTACGGACAAAGTGCGAAGAGAAGGAATCATTGCTAGAACAAGACGTCGGCGGAAATAGACCAGGGGCTTGGCTATAAGAGAACAATAGATAGGCTTCTCTTGTTCTTCGATAATGGCATTCTTGGACTCGACCGAGGTCAGCCCAGTTTTGTGCTATGCACAGATACCTGTCTGGATTTTCGTCAGCGACTGAAGCATGATCAAGATGCCGAAGAAATGGTTTGAAATGGATTTGGTATCAGGAGTAATTGCTTGTTCCTCGACAGTAAATTCCGAACAGGTCTGTGAATAAATGCTTGTCTCATCATTTGATGGATTGAGGGTGAAAATGAAAATTGTTTTGACATACCACTTGACTAGGTTGGATGGATCATGAGATGATTCACCTCAAGCTGCCTGTCTAGATTAGCAAGGCACAGCGAGATTGACAGCGCGCCGTCGACTTCCGACGGGCTAGGGTCGCAAGTGTCCCGCGTCGCATGTCGAGAAGTCGACATCCCGTGGTGTCAACCTCGACAGGCCCCTCTGTTGTCGCGTCGTTTCGGCCGTAGCCTCGCCCGGGAACGAACCCATGGTCGTGCGAGCTCGACGATCCTCGAATGAGGGCGGTAAACGATGCTCCAAGGCGTCTTTCGCCTAACCATTGGTCATACCATGCCGTCCGGTGAATGAAGCACCAGGGGATGAAAGAACATCTGGGTCCGTGAATGGAGAGGATGTCTACCGCCTCGCGTTTCGAGGAAGGTGTGGCTGCATTCCACATTGCTTGCGAATGAGCGTGACAGCACCGGCTAGAAGCCAACGGCTGCCTTGACTATTCTGTCCGCATGCCACTCTCGATTCCCAGCTTCACGCGGAGGCGTCAGCCTAGGTGGGATGGCAAACGACTGATGAACATGTCGCAATGTAAGGTTGAAGGATGAAAGAAAATTTAATTTGGTTCCGCTTGAATAAACGTGTAGGACGTTGGCCAAAAAAGGTCGGCGACGAATAGGAGGGCCCCGCAGCCCGATCTTGGGCCGTGCGTTCTAGACGCCGTTGGAGGGAAGGAACGAACCCCTGCTCCTTCCTCCTACCTCAGTCCATCGGGATATTTAACCGAGCCAATGATAACTCGAGCGGGAGCGAGTGATTGAATTAAGGTAGGCCGGCACGGCCAGGTTTATTCGATTCTAGACCAAGCAGGTCTCTGATCAAACATCGATCATTCTTCTCTCAACAGCATCCCGTATGCCCACCTGGAGAACTCTATTGCCTTCGCGTCTACAAAGGTAGTAGTGAGATCGGCAAGATATATCGCCGCTGGCGCCCATAGCATGAATGCCAACAAGATGGCAAATAGGTAAGATATCTCAGAGTCTCCGCCACCGACAAGACCAACAGTCCATCGGCCCAGGACCAAGCCTAATGAGTATAGGAGGGGACCATGGATCATGTACAGCGAAAATGAGATCTTTCCCATATACTGAGAGAAACGGTTGGTGAAGAGAATTTGTAGGAATGTGGCGTGGTCGACGACGAGAACCGTCAGCACTGCACCGACTGGTATCACGAGGCACTCTTGAAATCTTGCTGGAACCCAGGATACTAGGATCACGTAGCCGGGTGCCTGCGCTGCCTGCTCCATGTCTTCGGGCATGCTGAGCAACCACAGCGAGATCATGAATGATGCGATCCCTACGCCCCGTCCAAGAACGCGATGAGACAGGCTGCCTTGCTTCGGCGTTCGATGTGCAACCCCATCCAAGGGTGATGTGCCCCGGTGCTGTGCTTCAGAGCGGGAGCCTGGCCACCGCCATTGCCTTTCCTCGAGTTCGAGATGCAGATCGCACAAGAACATGCCGCTGAGGAACAGGAACATGCCAAAATAGACGTACAACCATTCAAGGTAGATCGCCAGGCTGAGCGCGAAGAACATCCTGACCCTGTTGTGTACTCTGGTGAAGGCCGTCAGGAACATGAATACCACCATGGAGCTGATAAATTCGAGCGGAATTGTCCAGAGGTGGGGGTCGTATATAGGTTCCGGTATGTCGGAATCGGCACGGACATGAGGTTGGCCGATGGGGTCGGTGGTCATGGCCTCGGCCATTAGGTAGTGCCGTAGTTGGTCCCATAGAGAATCAAAGTGCGGTGGCACCCTCGTCGGGTAAGCCACGCCGGGCAGCCCCTGGTCGGGGAACAGGTTGAGCCAAGTCATGATAGCGACAACGAAACTGACCACAGCGGCTGGGAGGAAGAGCCGAGTGTGGCGGCGGAAGACGGACGACGCGATGGCCGAGCCTGCTTTTTCGAACTCTCCCCGGCGAGCCAGCGTCAGAACGCGGTGCGATATTGTGTAGCCGGACACGACGAAGAAGACGGAGACGGGGGCGAGGCCTGAGACGACGAGGCGTAGGATAGGCAGTTGGTATAGCCACCATCGTCGAGACGGGTTCGGAGTCCATGCTAGTTGGATGTCCCACGAAAACCACACCAGACCGCAGTGGACGAACACAACACATAGCGCTGCAATGCCTCGCAAGCCGTCTTTGGCAGCATGTTAGCCTGAGCACGCGGGGTTGATGAGTATAGGCAGTCCTTCTTACCTAGCCAAGCCGTAGAGCGAAGTGGCTTTGCTTTGTCTTCTTTTGGTCCTAGGAAACTGGGGACCAGGAAAGAGGCAGCTCTCGAGACTCTTCTCCAGGCATCTTGACGCCGCGTGTTGATGGGAAGTAATGAGTCTTCTGCTTCTAATACTGAATTGTCCTCTGCTTCATCGACTGAGGGTTTGTATTCTTTGCTCGAGTCGAAACTTCCCAGCGGAGCGTACGCATGCCGGCCGTCCGCACCGTCAGAGTCGTTGTTTGCTCGAAGAAATGAGGGCAACATAGCCACACGTAGTCGAGCTCGGTTTGAACTATATCGAACTCGAAGCTAGATAGATGAGCAAAGAAATATGAACTTGCCACACTGGGCCTGTGTGATTTCTAATGAAGATGAGCGACGTAAGTAGATGTTGCAAGAGCGCGGAAGGGTTGCCCGAGAGCTAATGCAGCAGACCAAGGTTTGGGTGTAAGTCACCACTTAAAGGGACGAGACCGAGCTGCCCGGCGTCTAAGTGTGATGGGATTCCTGGAGTACGTATCCCCACCATGTTTTACTCGTCCGGTGAGAAACACGCGCATTCCAGATGCGGTAACTCGGGGAGGCGTTTCATGATCAGCAGAGTTCGAGGTGATCCGGAGGCAGACGAGTTCAGATGACCCCTAGAAAGTCTAATCGCGAGGCACGAGGTGCTCTCATTCGTCGAACCGAAGTCTTGGGATTTGACCTTTGCACTGTTTGGAAGGTGTTGTCACTGATGTGCTTGAAGTAGAATCCATGTTGGTAATAGTAGAGGGTACGAGGTCAA